CAATCAACCACTTGTTGCTATCGACCCTTATACGTGCTTGGATCACCGCTCTCCGTAACCAGAGCAAATGCCACATGATTATCTTCGAAATCGTATAACCGGTGTCTTGTGGGTTCTATATCGCCTTTGTGCTAAAAATACTCCTGTTGGGGATGAGTCTTCTCATCACCATCTATGTCTATAACTATTTGTTGGTCCACATTTGCTTCACCGTCCTAAGTTGCGCCTCCTGTGTTTGTGTTTGTACCATTAAGATGCTGTGTTCATGTTTGCACTAAATGCTCCTTCACATCTTCTTCACTGTCCTTTTGTGGTTCCTGCTCATCATCACCTAACATGGACTCCTAATCTAAAGTGACATCTCTGCTTACGAATGTGATCTTGCTTTCCAGATCCCATAACATGAACCTTTGACGCCCTTCTGAAACGCAATGAAGTAGCATCTCTTTGACTTTGCATCCAGTTTGCTCCTCTTGTTCCTATGCACTAAGCGTAGGCAGGACACCCAAACACTCTCAAGGAATCATAATTAACTAGTTCTCCCATCCAAACTTCTTTTGGGATCTGAATATTGATGGTAGTCGATAGTGAACGATTGACCTAATAGCATGCATGATTCACTGCTTCTGCCCAGAAGCACTTCACTAGGCCTGACTGTAATCTCATGCTTCTGACTCTCTCTAGTAGTGCCTGATTCATGCTCTCCGCTACCCCATTCTGTTCTGATTGCCTAGGTACTATCAGCTGATGCTGCATGGCTCATTCAACACAAAATTGCTTGAACTCCTTTGAGGTGTATTCACCCCCATTATTTGTCCTCAAATACTTGCTCTGTTGACCCGGTCAAGCTTGCTGCTGTAGCTATCATTTGCAGGAACTCCCTCTCAATTTTGGCCATTTACAACTTGTTTGAGCTAAGCTTCACTTGGTAACATGATGTTCCACATATGAGAAGCTTTCTTTGTTGCTGACATCTATTGCACCATGCAAAATTCTAATAAACTTGTACCCTGGCTCCTAGTTATGATGCTATTCCGTACCAGCTTGTATGGTCACTTCTTGGATCAAGTATAGAATTTCTCCGATAATTTCACATTGGAGAGGATCTAGCATTCTGTATTTATTAATCCTTAAAGGCTAAGGCTATAAAAACAAACATCTCAATCCTGTAAGCCTTAAAATTTCACATCAACCTCAAGAATCAATGGGGCTTAAAGTTGAAAGCTAGAGAGCTATATTACATTATTACTACATAGATTATGAAAGAAACACTGAACTAATACAGTTTACAATGTTGCACAAAATTCAATCCAATTCATCTACTCAAAACCTAAAAGCCACCAAATATAGAGAATCCACATTTATTCCACAGATAAAAAATATCAAATTATAGAAAGAAAAAGGAAAACAGCAACAACAATGCATAGAAAGAAGCTCAATACCTAGTGATCCTCCTTCAGTTTAATTTGGATGCCTGATGATCCTCTTCAACACAACAGTCCTCGCCCTTCTTATATCCCTTCTGCACCAATCAGCCTGCTTCCTCAAATCCTCAACAGTCCTCATAAACAACTCAAGCTTCTTCTTAATCTTCTCAGTCACAAACTTCACAGGCTCCTCTACTCGAAGCACGAACTCAACATTCTGAAGCAAAGACAGTCTGAACTTTCAGTCGTTCCAAATTCGATATAGTGACATGAGTCCCAGCTTGCATTGAGTTCAATAACTCCTTGGGTGCCTTCAGAGCATTGAAATAGTCATTCCAACGTGTATTGCACCATTTCCCTATTGGACCCATAGCAGCTGCTGCCAATGCTAATAATGCAGTGATGAAGGCTGGTGCCGGAACTGCAGCAGCCACCACAGACGTAATAAGAACCAAAGCAAACACGGACACAAAGATCACAGTCAAAATCCTCCTCCATGCCTTCATCAATCGGAGTTTTTATCGAGCTTTTTCTTCTTCTTTTTTAGCTTCTCCAGCATTGAAACTTGCTGTTTATAAACGGATTGGAACATATTAAGGTATTCTTTGGTAAATGAATTACCCACATCCTTAAAATGCATTAATTCGTCCAATATCTTCACATATTCTCCCCTACTACTTTCTTCATTAGTTCCCTCTTCTTCGAATCTTCTGAGAGCAATGTGAAGGGCAATCTGAGACTCTCGGGCTCCCTTGAAGCACTTTTCTAAGGCAGTGCAAAAGTCTGGAGTCTGAAGGGAGCTACCAAAGTACTCTTCTACTATGTTGAAGAGCTTATCATTCTTCCAAATATCCTTCTTGTATTCTAATATGATCTTGACTATCATCCAAATACCCGTCATGCATGACTGTGCAATGGACAGGTTAAACATAGGATTTTCTATTTAAGTTAGATAGAAATGACACATAGTAATAAAACATTCAGTGGTAGACAAGGGAAACAGAGATAGAAACACACTGTTATAAATAGCGGTAAATAGCCCCGCAATAGCGACGCTAATAGCGTTAGCGGTCCCTTCCCGCGACGCTATCGCTCGCTACGCTATCGCATAATAGCGGTGACATATTGCAGAATATGTCTGTTCGCAAAAGCGGCTAATAGTGTGTTGAGCGATTGTATTCGAAATTTGCTTTTTGACTGCTATTTAAAAACGGTTTGAGGCTTATTTTTTAAAATTAAACTCAACTCTTGACCATTGCATTCCACCGTCTCTTGTGATTTTCAGTATACTCTCCGCCATCTCTTATATCCTCTGGCACCTACCTTGATACTTCCTCTCACCTCTTTCACCGTGAGCTCCTCTTAGGGCAGTCCTGTCACCGCTAAGCTCTTCTTCTCGAAGACGACGACTTTTTGACTCCTCCAGTCATCTTCGGTATTATGTGATGGTTACATGTCTATTTTATGTTTAGGATCTCTTTAAATCATCTAATATGTACTTTTAGATTTTTTAGATTTTTTTTTAATTTTTTAGTATTTATACATATCTAAATTAGACCGCTATTTGACTTTGCGTTTTTTACCGCTATTTTGTCGTAATAGCCCGAAATAGCCTTAGGGATGCCTCACCGTTACGCGACGCTATCCGCTATCGATAACATTGCCCCGAAGACAATTTGAAATTTTGAAAAAAAATACTTAAACTCAATCCTTCCCCTCCCACTCTGTAATTTTTTTAAAAGGTTAAGAAAATCAGCACATGTGCTTCGTTTTAGCCCTCCCTTCTTTCATCCTCACTAATTAAAAATTGTAAACAACACAGTTACTAGATAGTTAAAATGGTAACCTTCCAACCCCTCCCTCTCGTCTTGAAAAGAGCCATCAATACCCATTGTTAAATAAATTTTTCTCAAAGTTCCAAAATGTCCCTAGAGAAAGCTCCAAATTTGAGCTGGTAGCTCTCTTTAGAGACAAAGATTCAAATTTGATTCTATAGCTTCAATTCTCTTCTCTTTCCTCTAAACAAACACAAGTTACAGTGTACTCTATCTTTCCCCTCTTTTCAATCCAAACACAATAAGTTCCTTTGACATAAATCCAATACCCTTGTACAAGCCTAATAACATATACCCAGTGTTGTAAATAGCGGCCAATAGCGGGGCTATAGCGGCGCGAATAGCGGTCGCGGCCCTTCAGCGCTACGCGTAGGGGTTTCGCGGCTGGCTTAAGCGGGAAAATCCGCTATTCATTCGAATAGCGCGTAAAAGCGGATTTTAGCGGGTTAAAAGCGGGTTTTCGCGATTAAAAGCGGATTTTCGCGGTTAAAAGCGGATTTTTGTTGTTAAAAGCGGCTAAACCCGCTAAACCCGCTATCACACATATTATGATGCTATATTTCTTGAATTTCTTCATAGTTTCATTCATACAACAAGCTTATTAATTGTTATTTATTGATAATACAAGAAATTTACAACTAATTGAATTTTTAGATTTTTTTATGAATTTTTCTTATTATTTAGGATATTTAAATATATTTAAATTTGACCGCTATTTGACTGTGCGTTATTTGCCGCGATTTCGCCGCGATAGCCCGATATAGCCTTAGCGGTACCTCGCCGCGACGCGCCGCGATCCGCTATCAGCAACCTTGGTATTTATATCTTCAAAATGCATAAATATATATTTCATGATTATAAAAATTTATCCCACGCTATTTTATCATAATATCCCGCTTCACAAAATTGTTCTTATTTATCCCACTAAAATATCCTACTAGCGAAAAATTATTCCATTTTAACAATTATCCCATTTTGCATGAAAATGTCCCAATTGACTAATACCCCCAAGAAAACATCTTTTACCCACAAGAGTTCCTGAAATTATCAATTAAAAATTGGAAAATAAAGAAAGGAATACATCTGTAATCTATCACTCACAGAAATTTGTTAAAGTTCCTAAAATTACACCAAAACTTTGAAGTTCTGATGAGGGTTGAAGATTATATTTTTATATTCTAATATGCCATGCAGGTTGAACGCTTTTTTTATGGGCCGAAACATAGACTCATGCAATGGTGTCAATTTTTAAAATCCGCATTAAATTTGTGGTCAGTGGGATTTGACCGTAGATTAATCTGATATCATGTTAAATACCCTAACCATTACACCATAACTCTGAGGTTGTGATGAAGGTTAAGGATTATATTTTTATATTCGAACAGTATTACAAGAAGCACCGAAAGTCCATGTACAAGATACTTTTTAAGTTTCTTTAGGCATAGAAATACTTCAATTATTTGACACCCACAAAGGATAAGAAAAAAAAAGAGAAAAAGAGAAACATGGAAAGCAAAGAGAGAAATTCTTACATGCAATAGTATAAATGCGCCCAGTCTAGCAAGTTTTGTCAAAGAATAGAAAAAATCTGAAAATTTTCCAGCATTAGACATCATTCAGGACGCAATATCAAGTTTTGGTATCTTCTCTTTCAATTAAAATAGAAAAAATCTGAAATTTTTCCAGCATTAGACATCATTCAGGACGCAATATCAAGTTTTGGTATCTTCTCTTTCAGTTAAAGAAGCAAATATGCTAGTCTTTGTCACTCCCCATCAATTCATGGAAGGTATATGCAAAAGGCTCATAGGAAAGATAAAACCTGACGCAGAGGCCATTTCATTAATCAAAGGCATGGAGGTTAAGAAAGAAGGACCATGTCTGATATCGAAGCTTATCACAGATATGCTTGGGATAAATTGTTGTGTTCTTATGGGTGCTAATATCGCTAATGAGGTATGAGTTCACAAAACTTAAATTTTTACTCTTATCTACTTTCTTTTTCCTTTTTTATTTTCTTATGGTTTCTACTATTGTTAATGACGTATGAATTCACATAACTTAATTTTTTTACTCTATCTACTTTCTTCTTTCTTTTTTATTTCTGATATCAAGACTGAAATCTATGATGCAGATAGCTTTGGAGAAATTTAGTGAAGCAACTGTTGGGTATAGACATAGTAAGGAAGTAGCACAGAGGTGGGCTCGATTGGTCAGTACCTCATATTTCCTTGTATCACCTGTGAGTTTCACTTCCTTTTAGCTCTCATTAGATAATTATGTCTATAGATTATGATTTTATTGAATTAAACATGCCAAAGCTATTTAATTTATGGAAAAGTGTAACTGCAATTGCAGCTACAATTTACATATATTTTTTTTTTATTTTTTGGGCCCGTCTTGCAAAACTGACTTACAGCAAAATATATTGTTGCAACTGTAATCATAACTACTTTTACAAATTGCAATTGTGATTGTAAAATTTTGCAAACCAAAGAGCTCGACCATGTAAGTTTTGCGGATGTGCTTAAATATGCAGCTATTTTGCTTATTGTATATTGTTCACAAGAATGCAAATCTACACATCAGTTCATCGGCCTCTGGATTCTTTCATAGTCTAGTAGAATTTATAGGCTTTCATCATGTTCTATGAGCTTAAAATGCATGACCAATTGCTTGGTGTTCTCTAAGGGTTTTTCCATGGGCTTCTCTTGTTCATTGGTCCTTAGAGGAGATTTTTTTCAAAAGAGCCCATTAGCAAAACCAACCTATTTTTGGCCAACAGGCTAAAAAGGTTGGTTTCGCAAAAAAAAGGTATTCCGAAACATATGAGACTAGCAGTCCCATATGTTTATTGGCCAATTAGCGGCCACTAAAGTGACATTAGATAATCACGAGACTACTAGTCCCGTTGGTTTGCTGCTGCCCCATACGAAACGCACGGGACTACTAGTCCCGTGCGTTAAGCAGAGAGTAGGCCAAACGTAGAGCTTCTCGCCCATAAAATCCACAGGACTAGTAGTTCCGTGGATTTTCTAGGCACAGTACAAACGCGCACAAAACATGCACAGGACTGTATTCGCTTCATGTACATTGTTTTGCGGATCTGTTTGGGCTACAAAAATATAACATCCACTTCATATAATTGTTATATTGTTATACAATATAATATTTATATACTTATAAATTTTAAGAAATAAACACTGGATAAAAACACATTTAATGAATCCACAACATCACAACAAAATAACTACATCATATACATATCCAGACAACAAAATAGTCCAAACAAATCTAAATATATCAAGTCTATCCATACGACAAATTTAGTCTAAGCAAAAAAATAATAAACTATCACATGTAACCTAAAAGTTCGTTCCTCCCCTGTTGTCTCACTCTTCGTACCCGCTCCGATTGTCGACGTTCTCCTTCGATTTGAGCTTGTACATGCTGACTCTCTTGTAGTACGTGGGGCTGTGACCAACCAGGTTGTTGTGATGGACCAACCTAGTTGTCGTGTGAGCAAGATTCACCCTTCTTCGTCAGCGCGCATATACCCTCCTCCTCATGCGCCATGTGCTCGCAACTGTCATGCCGATACTCATGAGTTGAATAAAGAGCTTTACGAACCCTCCTCACTATCCACTGCAATACCGATACATGTACTGAATCTCCTCATGCGGTAGCTATGCCTTCATTTGCAAACCTCTCTATCTCATCCATAGCATCTATCTGCATTCATATAAAAAGATATAATTATATATATAAGCAACCAAAAGCTCATGGATTAAAAAACTATTTAAATTTACGCATTTACTTACCCATTCTCTTTCATCTACACCCCTTGGTACGTATCTTGCTTGTTGGGAATGTATCTCGATTTCGTCGACTGGAGGCTTGGTTTGAGTGATTATCCATCTTCTGATAATCCCCTAATACCATCTTATATAATCGATTTTCTCCATTGGAGGATAAATCTGCTCGACGATGCTAAAATGGTGATCATTCCATCTAGCAATGAACTGATTATGCATAAGTGGCCAATCAATCTGATGCCCACTATTGGACGCCTTTCTTTTTATTATTTCTATCAATTGTGGAGTGTGTTGTTCGAAACCAAACTACCTAAGCACACAATCCGACATGTGCATCTCCACAATTTCAAAGCAAATGAGAGGAACTTGGCTCTCCATATACCATGTCCCTTCATGCAAATTAGTAGTTGATGAGATAGAAAAGTGTCGTATGGCTGCCGCTCGAACTACAAAATATAAATCATCATTAGTAACTAGCTTAAATTGACTTAAATTCAAAAATTCAATACCTGATAAATTTCATCCCGTCGAGCTCTCCATTGTAAAAATCTAACTGTCTTATCGGGGCCTAATTATATGTTTTAGTGACGTTCCATCTACGTGTATGATAGAAGATTAGATTCTAATTCCAAATTTAAAATTTAAAATTTAAAAGTAAATTTTCTTTAATTAGATTCGAAATTGTTTACCTGCTTCCCAGTAGAATTTGTCCATCTAAAACTTGTGTCTCGCATAATCTTGGTCTCAAAACCAATCTCTTCCATGCCTAAACTTGTAACAATGCTAAGCACCACTTGAGCTCTTTATTTGCATAAAAGCAATATTCAATATTTCTCTATACATGTATGCTAAAACAGCACTACACCATAATAATGTCCCGTACTTGTCGAAGTTCTGGAGAAGCGTTATCCACCTATCATATGGCAAATGCATTTAGTCGTATTTTATGAATAATGAGTAAAAATCTAGCAAGAACGACCAATATAGTGCATTAAATGAATAACAAGTTGTCTTACCTCAAATATATTTTATGTTTACTTGAATTGGGGAAAAAAAACATCTTGATCATGTGCAAAAAATATGCACGAGCATGTTGCTGGATTATGACCTGGGATGTATATTCTGGCAAGGGGTTTGCGAAATTTTCTTTTAGCCACTTCAATCTAATGTATCCCCTGAGCAAAGACTCTGGAGATAGTCCTAACAACTCATCACAAATTCGGCGCCACACATGTCTATTAGTCTTTGTAACACAGGGGCTATCAACGTGGAGACCAAGGAACAGTACTATATCTTGGAGCGTAATAGTCGCCTTGCCAACACGTAGATGAAAAGTGTTAGTCTCTAGTCTCTATCTATCCATCAACACATTAAATAGTGCCCAATTGAGTTTCATCCACCGTAACTTTGAGCATGTAAGAAAACCTGCTTGGGCTACTAAAGCAATCATACATGGATCTTCAAGTGACCATCGCATATGTCCGATGCTATGATCAATCATCACTAGCTCTGGTCCTCTCTGCACAATAATGAAAAAAATATTAGCATTTACTCAATGAGTAAGTAATATGTGACTATACATTCGAAAAAATTTTGACTAAAAATATAAGAATCATTACCGATGAAAATGTTATACACTCTGAATGGTGTCGTGACTGATCATAAAGGACTGCATTACTTATCGGCCTGGGAAGCATGGTGTATATACCTACACATAATTATTAACTTATTAGATCCTACAGAATCAATAAGACTATAATAATGAATAAGCCTATAACGACAATGAAAATAGAGAGAGAAAATATATTGCCAATTAATTGCTATGTACTTGTTTGTGATGGACAACGAGACCTATTATGGCCTAATTGATTACATTGTCCACATTTAATTTGCAACACTACTCCTTCTTGGCCTTGGTCCATGGTACCTCTAATACGCACGGAGCAAGGTCGTCCCGCTTGTTTTTTGTATTGAGGTGGTTATATGCATGGTCTATTATAAATCGGCCAATAACGACTATCATTGGGAGGATAAAAAATCTCCTTATAAGCCTTTTGATAATGATTTGTTGAATACCAACCTGAGCAATACCGATCATAAAGCAATCTAGCACCACCATCCTGATTGGAACTAGCTGCTAAAATATATTCACATGGTAGTTTTTGTAATTGTGGTATATTACAAGTATAACTGTACTCCTGGTTATAGAGATGGACGGTATAAGTACATTCACAATCTTTAACCTCCCATTCATTATCATTGAATAGAGTAATTCTACATGATCTTATGGCCACAATCCTTTTTTGCAGAATACTCTTAATTTTTGGAGTGTAACTTGTCCAATTTGCATCATCACCACGTTTCTTATGAAAATATGCGTTTAATCTATAAAACGTCCTTACAATCAATGCTTGAATTGGCATAGCACGGGCACCCTTGAGTACGCTATTAGAACTTTCAGAGCAATTAGTTATCATCATACAATAGCGCACTCCACCATCTTTACATAATGTCCACCGATCTTCGTATTGCGGGTTCAAGTTTTGTTCAATTCAGTTATGTGCTTCAACTGATAGACTTAATTTTCTCCCTACAATGTTCATATATCAGTGTGTCGGCTGCATACCCTGCTTGCCACAATAGATTTTGTAAATTGATCTCTCCATGTTTTTTTTGAAAATTATCATTATATGCCGCAAGCAATACTGATGATGATGTGGTGCTCGAAATCCCTCATGCAAGGCTCGTGGAATTCTTTTTATCCGGTCAGAAATAAAAGTAATCGTTCTAGGATTTTGAACAGTAGAGATGAATCTGTAAATACATTGGAAAAAATCACTTCCAACTCGATGTTTTCTCAACCTCCACAACTGCGAAAGCCAATGGAGATAGACCACCATTTGTGTCTACACCAGTCGCAACCAAGAGCACTCCTTTGTACTTGTCGTATAAATGTGTGCCATCAATGCTCAGGAGTGGACGACCAAAAGAAAACCCTTTGATAGCGGGTCCAAATACCCAAAATACTCGCACGAACCTTTCCCTTCCCGACGCAATAGCCTTAGACAATATTTTGTATTCGGTACCTGAATTTTTCCTCTTAATTGCTTCAAGATATTACGAAAGTAATTCGTAAGATTTCTCCCAATCTCTAAAGATTTTAGTCAACGCCTTCCTCCGTGCATCATATGCTTTATATTTGGATATAATTATTTTTCTCATATCATATACCCTTGTAATTATCTGACTTAGAGTAAGATCAAGTTCTCGCCTAACTTTGGGCATAATTAGCTTCAAGATATAAGAGGAAGTTGTTGTCTTATGATTTATATTGACAGTTGGATTGTAACATGTATGAAGTCCGTACTAACTAGATGTCATAAATTGCCCATTAGATTTTTTCCTAACCGGTGCATTAAGCTTTCATGGGCACTTTGAATTTCTTTCGTGTTGAGCACTTGCATACTCTCCTTGAGCTTTCTCGTTGAAGTAGCACTTTACATGGTAATTGATTGTATTCGTTTTCGCTCTTTTGAATTTGACCCGATTCTTGATTGACCATTCACGTATAGCGAAAATTAAAGTTTTCTTATTATCGAAAACATATTTTTTTAAAGTGAAGTCCTCGGGTCGTTCGCCATTAGGACTAAGCTCAACAAACTCAACTTGTGAGGCATTTATCCACTTCTCATTTTGAAACTCTGCTGGCAACGGTTCTTCAGACTCTAACATAATCGTTGTTTACACAATATTCATCCATTCAACGGGTGTCCTTATCGATTCCTCCAATTGCACATTATGTACTATCAAGACGTTCCTCCTTTTTAGCATCTCCATAATCATCATCTGCATCAGCATCCTCATACTCTTCTACAATAGAACCAACCGGTAAATTAACTGAAACATGACCCGAAGCGTTGTGGAACACGTTACTTGATATTGGATCCGAGTTATTTTCTAAGTGTAAGGCATTTGGAGATGCAATGAATTCGCTTGAGTTATTTTCTAAGTCAAACATGCGGGATAACTCTCCTGGAGCATATGAAACTTAGGCAACACCAGATATTGGAATATTTTTAATAAATAACTCGATTGAGATTTGGTTTTCCGCAAGTTGTCTCATGTCTCTCAGGTCTTGATCATTGGTGATCTCTACAGCAATTGTTTTTTTTTTCATATATCGGACAATTACGGAAGACCTTATTAACATATTCTCTATGATTAACTCTAGTAACTTTGCATATTTGCTCCATCATTCCATCGAAGTTATAGTTTCTAGATAACATGAACATTTTTCTAGATCCTCCCTCGTATATAGGCATATTATTCATTCTAACACTCAATTTCTCATTGAATTAGTAAATAATCGGTATTCCATTCGCCATTCGAACTGAAATATTAACATTTATCATATGCAAATTATTTATCAAATTTTAATCTAACAAATTTTAATCTATTAAAATTTAACCAAATCTCATTGTTTATCATAATTTAAAGAAATTATTCTAAATATACAATTATTTCCAAACTATAATTTTAACTAAATAATAGAGAGAAAATTAGGAAGAAATCAAAATTTATACCTTGATGAAGATTTGAAATTCGTCGGTGTCCGACTTCAACAATGCAACTTTTGAGGAAGATCTCTATTTGGGTTTGGAGAGAATGATTTAGAAGGGAATGAGTTTGGTGAGAGTAAGAGAGAAAATTGAGGGAGAAAATGGTGATTTTGGAGAGAATAAACGGAATGGGGTTAGGATTATTGAGGAAAAGAGATTGAGAGAGAAAGAATGGGAGATGGTTGATGAAAATTAGGTTTGGAGAGGTGAGAGATCGGGAGGCTTAGAGAGAGGAGGATGTGCCCTAACTATTGGGCACAGGTAGGTTTATGTAAGCCCGACAAATCCACGGGACTACTAGTCTCATGGATTTGCTGGCCGTGTTTGGGCTACTCTCTGCTTGCAAGGGACTAGTAGTCCCGTGGGTTTTGTATGAGGCAGTAGCAAATCCACGGGACTACTAGTCCCGTGGGTTTTTTTAGGTCACTTTAATAGCCGCTAATTGGCCACTAACATACGGTACTATTAGTCTCGTATGTTTCGGAATATCTGTTTTACAAAACCAACCTATTTTTTGCCAAAAAGAGGTTGGTTTCGCTAAATAATTAGCAAAACGGCCGGTTTTGCTAAATATTTAGCAAAAAGGGGCTCTTTTGAAAAAATCTCCTTCCTTAGATGTTTATATTTCATCATCATTTCAAGTTGATTGACGGTCACAACTAAAAAGAATATTTTGAGAAGATTTTCATATTGTATAGGAAGCAGCTTATACGATGACAATGAAGAAATTTATACATGTGTATGCAAATATGGTCAGGTACAAGATGTGGAGGGAGTAGAATTATGTGGAACATTAAAGAATGTGGTAGCAATAGCTGCAGGACTTGTTGATGGCTTGGACATGGGAAATAACACTAAGGTTTGTATGTTTCATGTGTTAAGAGTGACTAAAGAGCTAAACATTGACACTAAACAAACTTTGCACTAACTATTATCTAATGCATATCAGGCGGCAATAATGAGAATTGGATTGAGGGAGATGCGAGCACTTTCCAAGCTTTTGTTCTCCTCAGTGAAAGATACCACCTTTTTTGAGAGTTGTGGAGTGGCAGATTTAATCACAACATGCCGTATGAAATATTCTATTTCTAAACTAGAGTTAATTGCAGAAGACCCCTAGGATTCTCAAGTCCATTAGTTTCACGTTAAGATTGGGCTTCATAACTGAAATACAAGCTTCACAGCCTGATTTACTTACTGAATAGATGAACAATGATCATTGCTTATAACTACTTTAAATGGGAAACTAACGGAGTTGAGAATCCAGGGGGTCTATCTGCTACATACAAGTACAAGGGGTCTATCCACAATTTGGCGATAGTACGGGGGTCTATCCACAATTAATTGTCTAAGCTATTAGACTTAACTGTGCATAAAATAACTAAAGTAACTGGGTCAAATCATATAACTATTGTTTGTTGTTGCAGTTGGAGGACGAAACAGGAGAGTAGCTGAGGCCTTCGCAAGGAATGGTGGTAAAAGGTCTGAAAATCTAACCTTGTATCAGTTTGCTGAAGTAGTTTGCTGAAGTTTTGTTTGTTTCAGACAGCAAGGTTTCATCCTTACTTGAGATTTTTTTTTTTAATTCTTTTCATCTTATTTTGATGGCAGATCTTTTGACGAGCTAGAAGCAGAACTGCTGCAAGGGCAAAAGCTACAGGTAAATGCAGATATACATCTCAAAATACCATTAGCACAAAGAAACAAGAAGAAGAAGAAGAAACGAAACTTTTTTTTTTAACGAAGATTACCTGACTCTTAAAATTTTAAGCCTGAAGATCGCAACTTTTGACAAGGCAATTTTTTTCTTTACAAATCGAGCAATCAGTTAATAAACTACTGTCAAGACCTGACAGAAAATTTTCATGACTAATGGATTTTTTATCTGATTCCAGTTAAATTATCATCTTATTGTGGCTATATTAAGAAATTTATGTATTAAGGAGTTGGCAAAACAGCCAAGATTAGAAAAGTCTTTTCTTGTTTGTTCTCTTAATCCTCTTCACAACTCTGAAGTTCTACTGCAACAAGGAAATTTAAAATGGTATTTAGAATAGGTGAGATTCAAATCCTACCATACACATATAACTCTTTAAATCTCACTGTAACTTCAGAGTTTTGATCTCACTGTAACTTCAACTTCAGAGTTTTGATGTGGTGTAAAGATCTTGAGATATCTGAAACTGAACTGTTTTGGTATCAATCCTTGAAGGGAGTCTCAACAGCACGAGAAGTCTATGAAGTTCTCAGGCATCGAGGATGGCAAGCATCGTTTCCCCTCTTTACTACAGTTCATGAGATCAGTATCGGCAAGCTTCCTCCTTCAGCAATAGTTGAATACAGCAATAGTTCTGCTCAATAGAACTACATCTATAAGATTCCCCAGCTATCGCTAGATTTTATGCAGAATCATTATGAATCCTAAATATTTACAATTGTAGAACTGATAGTGAGAAATAATTCTTTCATATAACCGTCAATGACTACTTTGTTGTGATATATCGAAAGACCTGTTCAGGGTTAGCTCGTAAGTTGAATTGATAACCATCCAAGGTATTAGCCAATCTGACTATTGAGCTAATACGGTAGCATAGGGAAAATCAAGCTTTTTCTCGCCTGGTAACTATCAAGAAAAAGGATTCAGCAATATTTCTATGCGCAATCAACTACTCCTATGGTATTTGATCATTTCAGATATCCGAACGGTTTGTGCAGAGACCACATGTTTTAAATAATGCATGTGTTTTCCCTTCTAGATTCCATGTACAGAAGGATGTGAAATCAAAATTCAAATTGGAAATGGAACGTTTTCACCAAATTCAGTGTAATATGTCTTATGCTTATTTCAATAGAACAGGTTTCTTTTTTCCCCTTTCACGGAGCATTAATAGTACAGGAATCAAGGGTTTATATGTATATCATTACTAGTTAAAGTTTTAATCTCATCCGATGGATGATTAGTGTTAATTTTTACCCATTATTAATTTCCTTCAGTGTTATATGTTCAAAGCAAGTTTCCTCTTCCTTATTATGCATGTTTGATTCTCTTTTGTTATTTTATTTTGTATATAAGTTCAATATAATTTGATCTGTTTTTCTTAAATTTTGTTTTCACTGTTATAAAATTCGTTCTGTTTGTAGATATGTCGAGTTTTAATTAATATATTGATATACAGTTAAATTTAATGAAAATTCGATCTAAAATTATAATTAATATTTAATTTCTGGATGTTAATATTTTATGCTGCTGTATAAAAATTATTTAATTATATAGATTATATCAAATTGACTGTTGAACTTACAATTTATTAGTCCAATTTTGATGACCACATTTAAAAGAAGTGACAATCTTTAACTGAGAACATAGTTTAAATGCAAAGACGATAAATAATAAAACTACGCCTTAATATAAGTTACTTAGTATTATCATATAGAAACTCCAACCATTACATTATTCGTATAGTCAAGAGGACGAAGCCTGTTAGGATGAAATAAAAGCATAATATAGGGTACTTCGTTTATATAGTGTTAAGAATTGTGAGATCATTCAGCATGAATTCAATTAGTTCATCAGTCTAGCCCTCTCATTATGTGGCAGTGTGAACTTCCAGTCACAGCTTTTCTTTGCGTGATCTAGAAGGTCATTATAGCTGTCTCCGTTGCAAAAAGGGCAGAGTAATTTGACTTTTGCGATGACGATCCTATTGTTGTTTTGCAGTTGCTCTAAGAAGAAATTTCTCATAGTTGAGATGGTTATCTAGATTGTCGAGGAATTTTTTCATCTGAAACAACGTTATACATTTTGAAAATTAATATTGTATGTATCATATTTATTTTATTTATACTTTTTAAAACATATTTAATTTAAAGCAATATTTACCTCATCGTTATTGATGTATGGAATCACACAGTTACATACTAGGAGTTAATCAAATTGATTGAGGTCCTCTAACTCTCCGAATGTCTGATTCCTGAGCAAACTACTCTTTCCTACACATGCAACAAATCGTAAAAGGGCGGAGTGTGATTCACCGGTTGCTCCTCCGACAATCAAGTCAGTGATCTGCTTGTGTGGGGAAGTAAAAGCAACTACATTAGTTCTTAAGCTCGGAGAGTAATAGCAAAAAGCTTAACCTATAATTGAAAATAGTATCTCCTTTTATAGTAGTTGGCCGAGCATGGGCTGGCGGCCAAGTCAACTTTAACTTTACAGGTGTCGACCGAGTAGTGGAGGAGAGGTCACTTTGGTGTTTAATGCGAAATGATGGGGGGTGTGCGGTGCCGACATGGTCCGTTGTGTCATAAATACTATTAGGGGCAGGGGAATGATAATACCCATAATGCATTTAATAACATTTATTGCGAGGTGATTGGTCGTCAGTGTACAGGAGGGGCTCGAGGCTTGAGGTGTTTCGTCGCCTTTCTACTCGTTGGATGGTCGAGAAGTACTACCTTTCGGCTTGAAGTGTTTCGTCGCCTTTCTACTCGTTGGATGGTCGAGAAGTACTACCTTTCGAGTCACCCTCGTAAGGCGTCAGCCGATTGGTCGGTCGAGTGAGGTGCTTAAGTAGTTGACTCAGCCAGGGGATGTCATGTAACTCCTTTCAGGTCGTTGACATGTGACGCTTTTCGAGTCGTCCTCGCAAGATGTTGGCGTGTCGAGTCGACCGAGTTAGGCCTCTGATTATTTTGAGATGCCAACTTGATTATGCATAATATGGGACACTTGTCTGTTAATGATTGGAGATTATTTTCCATCACTGAAATGACTATAACAATCATCATAATGAACATGAGCATGGTTGATTTCCTCTCCATTCCTCCTTAAGCAGACTAGTTTTCTATTATCGCATTATTAACTGCAGGCCAAATAATTATTTGAAATTCAGAATAATCTATCCATAAATTCAATGTCTAATCAAAATTTTTCCTCTTATCTCTTACCTCTTCTTCTTTATAGAAAGAGGATTGTCTTATGGTTCTTATTATAGATTTTTTCTCCTACTCCTAGCCCATAAAAGATATCTAAGTTGTGACGCCCCTGTTTTCAAACATGGTTACAGTCCAAGATGAACCCAGAGATGTTAAATCTATCATGCATCCATACTGTACAACAACAAGTTTTACCAATCATAACAATATCCTCTAGTGGAATCAAAATAAGGTACATGTACAAAACATGCAAAAGAAAGGAAATAACTACAATAGACATGATATAGAAAGAAGTATCTCATAAATAAATCATGTCTCAATGAACAGCCTGGAATACATCTAATATCCAAAATTAATAAATATGTCTCGACAAGAAACAACTAAAAATCGTACTAAGGCACACTGCCTTTACACTATGAAATAAACTCTAAGGTCTGAACAAAAATATAAAACTACGGTAGAGCCTCTAATAAATCTCATGTGACAGTGACTATGCAAGAACTCTGTCATCCTGCGACTCTCCGGTACTTCGAATTATCTAAAAGAATATTAGAAGAAAAAGAGCAACAACAAGAGTGTCAGAGCGCTACAACAAGATCACCTCCATCCGTCCCCAGGGGAAGGGCTATTAGATGGAGTGAAGGCTCTGTCTATTAAGTATGGTCTACCTAGATCATTTTCCCCCGTATCTAATGGAATTAATATTTAGACACCTACAATACGAGACGTAGTACGTCGAGCGAAATAATCCAAACAAGGAAATCCTCATGTATATACCATATGTCTCGAATTATAAACGTCTAAACATTAATACCAAATTAAAGATAAACAATCTAAATAAAATCAATAATTAGAAATCCACAATGAGAGATTGGTACGTCGAGTAAAATAATCCAAACAAGGAAACCCTCATGTATATATCATATGTCTCAAATTGTGAATCGTTAATTACTGATCTCAACTAAGAAAATAAAGAAAAGTAGTAAAAGAAAGTAAAGACATCAACATATCATATTCATAATATCTTCTACTGTCACTAGGAAGATAGAATAAATACAGGTACAAATCTCGTGTACTTTCAAATGCAAAGACTATGGGTCATATATTTCAGCAGTGAGTCAAAAACATAACTAGCATCCGCCAACGACTCGAGCTATCATTTAACTATCTCAATGCAACTCCGTACAAGATTTTGATACTTAGCATTATCATGTGCAATAGACTACCCTGTAGGTATCCTAATCATTGTACACAACTCATTAGTCTCAGTGCGATCTCAGTGCATAATATGAGTGCGGAACGGCCTATCATATAGGTATCCTAAAAATACGGCTCACAAGCCTCATCGCACCCTCGTGCGGACGGACTGCTAGATAAAGCATCCAAACTGGACTCAATGACATGTACACATGAAATATCGATGCACTACCCTCGTAGTACTGAACTGAGCTCATCAACGATATCCAGAAGTGTTGGCCTTCTTGTTTTGATGATGATTTAACAAACAATTTACATCTAATATTGTTTGTCTAGTGTTTGTATTTTATTATTTATTATAGACAAACAATAAGTTGGAGGATGGATGGAATCAAGCTTTCACGATCATATCCAATGGAGGTTGGCGGAATAGTGGAGTGAAGCCTTGCTATCAAGTTAAAGATTCAATTACAAGCTTCATCCAAGTCTACCAAGTTGAGCTACAATGAAGATCGAGATCAAGCTTGGGTAACATTTAGTTTAGGTTTTATATTATGTGTGTTAAGTATTTTAAGCTCAATCATATATACACACACATTTTATTGGTTTCTATGTATATATATATATATATAATACTCATATGTTTCATATTCTATTGTATTTGTAAAAATATTGTATTCATTGTTTATAGACTTCATAACAATAGTTTATATCTTTTATTAAGTCTACAAAATTATTTTGTAATATTTCAAAACATGGTTAAGCTAAAATGTCAAAACTCATATGTTTATATTTTTATGTTTTGGACTATTTTGCAAAATAATGATATTTTTCATTTGGGAGGTCCTTTTTAAAAACTAGTTTTTATAGCATGTTTATTATCATGTCTATAAATATTTCCCAAAGTTTCATAAATTTTGGAATTTATTTGATATTTTTAAACCCTATTTATAGTTGGTTTTTACTGTGCAAAACAGGCTGTGTGCATGTCATGAGTCAACTCATGAACAGTGACGAGTCGACTCACAAAGTCTTGCACAGTTGTCGTTTGTTTCTAATGAGTCGACTCATAACTTCATGAGTCGACCCATGCATGATGAGTCGACTCATGAATTTTATGAGTCGACCCATAAGTTGTTTTTAGCCTGTAACGGATAGTTATGAGTCGACTCATGAATAGTGACGAGTCGACCCATAACACTGTAACGGCTATATTTATACAAAATCAGATTTTTAATTCTTAGACTTTTTGGTCTTTTCCTTTGGGCTTTTTGACTGAGGTTTTAGGTGGCTATATAAACCCCGTTTGCTCTCATTTTTCAGTTGAACCAAGAGAATGTTTTAAGAAAGTTTAACAAAGGTTTAAAGTTTGTATAAGTTTGTTTAAAGTGTGT